GCTCTAATCTGTCGTCTTTTCAGGACACAAACTGCATCTCTAGTGCTACAGGGAACTTGAGGTTGCTAGCAGGTGGTGTGTAGCACCACGATGGCACTCTGCGGCTCTCTTCCTTCGGCGTTCTCTCCCTGTCCCCCAGGCGTGGCTATGCCGGGACGCTGTGCTGTGCTCCTTGCCGAGGAGGAGAAGTAGGATGTCCGTCAGCCTGTATTTCGTCTCAGACTGAGTGGAAACAGTCACTTGAAGGACAGGAGAGCACCAAGAGTACCTGAGCAGTGAGAGCAGGAGATTCTTGGCTCTTGCCCCTCAGTAAAGGAAGGAATTGAAGCCATTGTCTTGATGGCACGGCGGGGTCGCTGTTAACGTCTTTGTCCTGGCTTTGGTGGGACTCAAGGTTCACGGGGCCAGATTTGGCCGCCACAGAACAGGAGTTTCATGGCTCCTGTTGGAACTTGGGCCGCACCATGCAATTAGGTGGGCAGGCCTCCTCTGGAGCCGTTCAAGGGCACCCCTGCAGTGAGGAGAAGCCGCAGGGTAGGGCCTTGTGTTGCACCATGGACTGCTGTGCTGCCGGGGGGGGGTGGTTGTGGGGGTGGGTAGGATGATGACAGCCACCGCCTGGGGTGATTAATTTTGCTTCTCTGTACGGTGCCTTTAGGTTGTGACCTGCTCTCCCCTCCACCCAGGATGGAAGGGGCTTTTGTGTCTCTTTGGCCTGACCCCTGGGGCTGCTCAGCAGCAGTGGCAGCAGCGCCTGGCTGAGGCCACACAAGTCTCTTCCCAGTAGATGGCAACTGTTACTTCTGTCCGAAATGCTGTGTTTAAAGAAAAGGTCCTCACAGGGGAAACTCGCTCTCTGTAGATGTTCTCCTGGGGAGGTTTTTCTTCCAATGGCAGGTGCTGGAGTGCATCCCTGCCTCTGGGCTTGCCAGGGCCGGGCTCTCGCCCTGCCGCACCGCCGCTGTAATCCCCCCACCTAGGGCCCGCTGCCTGCCCACCCACCCTGCTCCGTACGCACCGGCCTTCGGCGGGGACAGGGCTGGCCCCGCCAGCTTGGCCTCGTTGCCAGCACTGCCAGCGAAGCACTGGGGCAGAGCAGGACGGCGTGGACCGGGAGGTGCCCGGGGACAGAAATTGAGAAACGTAACCCTCCTTTTCACAGTAAGCTGCCTTGCTGCCAGATGGCAGGAAAATGTTGCTGCTGCTGTTCCTCATCCTGCCTGAAAGTCCGGCTTCTGAGGCCGGGCCCAGGTGCTTCTGGCTCCTTCAACTGAAAAGCCTGGGACAGAGAGGGTGGAGAGAATGGAAATTGAGTTTTTCAGCTTAAAACAGCTGAACAGCCGTTTTTCAGGCTGCACCCCAAGCTATCTCTCCCTGCCAGACCCCAAACTTCAAACTAGAAGTGATGGTGCCCTGAGGAGCAGTTGGGAAGGTTAACAGAATGAAAATCTTTGCCTCTGGGCATAGTTAGTGTCCGTGTATGTTGTGTAACACACAGATAGCACTGGGATACAGGCAGGACACATGTAAGGAGTTTGGTGTGTCCCAAATGTATCGCCTTATTATGTGCGAGCAGATTCTTGCCATAGTCAGCTTGGTGTTGGGGACAAGTGGCTAAACACCTTCAAAACTAATGAAAATGCTTTCTGGATGTGAAAAAGGTGCATTTAGGGAAAATAGTTCAGCCAGTCAGTGTGCAGAGCAATTTAAATAAGAGGGCACAGCACTGGAGGCTACTGGCTTCCCTCCCCTGGGGAGTGACCTTCTCCAGATAGTTTCAAAAATTGCTTACCTCAGATAATGCCCTAAAATGCTATTTGTATGACTATGTAGGATAATATATGAAGTATTAAATAGTTCTTCACCATCTTTCTTAAAGACTGATACTTTAGGTACTTCATGGCTTTCTGTTAATGCAGCTATGTTCTCGGTACACTTGTAAAATCCCTCCTAACAACAGATTATGAGTCATTCGGTTGTTAGTTGCCTGTGTAATGTCTCCTCAACTAAAAAAAGTCAGTTGAAAGCTGCAGCTTTTTGTTTCTCAGTTATACTTCAGGCTTCTGTTCATTGGTACAGTTACGTGTAGCATTTACTTTTACCTGTAAAGACTGAAAGTGTGCATTGGCAAGCACTGCTGCCTCCTTCCAGGTGTCCTTGAGAGGACAAGTACCGAGGTACCTGGGGAAGCCTTTGGCAAAGGTGATGTACTTTTTAAAAGACACAGCATTTTTTTAAAAAAATAGGACACCCCCCCACCCCAATTTAAGCCCTTCAGTTACACCAACATATTTAACCACAACAGGGCTTTGTCAGCTACCCTGAGACTAATGTCTCAAGGCAAGTGGGTGCACCAGAGGGCCCCGGGGGATGTTCGCCACGCAACCACCCCCCCGGGGCTCCGTAACTGGATATGGCGTAGTACCAGCGCGGTCTGGACAGCCATCCATCAGGGCCAGTCGAGAACTGGATGTTTCTATTTGTAGATGCAGTATCTCCTACACAACTTAGGTCTGAGCTCTTCACTAGCCAGCTGCAGCTAAAATAATACAGAGACACTTTACCAGTGAAACAGTGTTTAATATAGTTAAATTACTTAAATAGATTTCAATTTCCATGGGAAATCATAACTGTATCCATTTTTGCAAGATCCAGAGTAAAGAGTGTGTGAATACCCCTTGAAATGATCATGACACACTGTCAACAATCACAGCTAGAGATACTGGGGACTTGAAATTTCATTGACAACACAACTTCATAAGATGAATCAAAGGTTAAGAAGACTGCAGACTTTCGTAAAGCAGAAAGCAAACCCAAAACCGAGTGTATAGCATGAAGGTAATGAAACTCAGTGAGGGGTAAAAGGGGTGGAAGGTGGAAGGGGGAGAGAAAGGAATAACAGCGTGATGCAACTTAAGTATTTTGCAAACGAGGAAAGATGTAAAGGAGCAAAAGTATAGTACAAGGGCAGACTTGGCAGTTTTACAGAAGTCAATATACTATACTTTTCAGAGATGTTTCCTAGTGGAAGGGAGAAGGAAAAGGGCAATGCCATTTAAGCTCATGTTTAAATGGCTTAATGCTTGGGTTATGCTTAGCAATACAGCAAATTAACAGGCCCATGGATTATCATTTATTCTCGTTGTTGAGTAGGAAAAAAAAATAAATCACCACCACCATAGTGCAATCATTAAGCTGTTAGTACTACAATAATTCTGCCCTGAGAAGAGTGGAAAAGAACTTTATTAAATGTCAAAAGATTGGAGTCATTTTTAGTGCTAGCCAAATTCAATATCAAAACTCTCCCCTCATAGAGTATAAAAAATATAGCTTTTTTTTAAAAATTATTTTCTTTTTTTTAATAAAATATCAAGGGATTTTTCTTTAATAGTTAAAAAAGGTACATAAATGATAACAGTGAACTATTCATAAACCCCCACTAGTGATAAAGATGTCCAACACAATATCAATGGCACTGTATTTTAAGGTTGACCACCTCATATACACACTTGCCACCATAAACTTTTTTGAAGATCACCTAATTCCTGAAAATTGAAAACCTGTGCCTACACGTGAAAGTCAGCTTGCTGCTGCAGTACATACCTCCTTGTGAGGTCAAATGGCAGTTACAGTATCAGACAACTCTCATATCAGCAGGATTCTATTAAGACCGTCTATGAAAAATTATTCTTTTAAAAGAAAAGTTCAAATGAGCTTATTTTTTCTCTTCTTATAAGAGCCCCTCTTAGCGTTAGTTAGAAGATATGCTTAGAGCCTTTTTTTGACATGTTTGACTGATACCGTCTCAGTAGCTAAAGCTCAAAGGTCCTGTTTCCATTTGTTAAGACGCCACCCTCCGCTTGAATGCTGCATGGAACAACTGTGTGACTACCGCGTTTTGTCTTTTCCTCTTCTTTGGGGTTGTCGATTTTTCTGGATTTTCATTTTAATATGCATATGATTCAGTCTGGAAACTCACCTGTTTGTTGTTGGTTGATTGTATAGTGATAATCTGAAAACTGCCAAGTCTGTGTTCAGAGTATTATGCACAAAAAAAAATCACACAAAAGTCTACAGGTTATATACACCTCCCACCACACCTTGGTGTGGACAGCCTGCCTTCTAATTTATATATAATTTACAAAATATAGGATTTGGTATATCTGTTAGATCTCCATGTTTTCAATATTACAAAATAAAAAGTACAAAAAAACCCACAACAAATTTCAGGGGAGTTCCCCCCACAAAGTGTCTCTTGTTTACATCTAGTCTTTCCCATGTAAACTGATATATACCAAAGAAGAGCACAGAAGACTGTTTAATAAATATGGTTGTAGAGCCATCTTTCTTTATCGCGATCTTCCCCTCCGTCCGATGTGCCAGCCCCACTCAGAAGAGCAGTCATTTAGCCATGTAGAAGGAGGGAAAAGAGGGAGCCAGGGCTATAATGTCTTTTCACACTAAAACATTACTGATGCCCTTCTAAAAGGCCTTTTTGTGTGCTGCAACAGTGGGTGTCAATTTTGAAAGCCCATTCAAAACAGCTAATAAAAGCACAGTGGTACACTTCAAATAGCTGGCAGTATGGGATGGAAACATTATGGGAGTGCAAATCCATTCCAAAATAATGCTTTGTAGTGAATCATACATTCCTTCAACCAAGTAAATGTTGTGTTGCATCAATAAATACTTAAATAGCTTCTTCTATCATCCTGTGGTAGCAGCCTTTTTTAAAAATTCCGAATTCATGTCTTATCTGTGAACTCTGTAGTACACATCTTTGGTCGACTTCTAGCACTCAGCCAGGAACAGCTCCAAGGTGGTTTCTTTCGATTGCCTTTCATGATGGGTGGCCAAAGAGTTTGCCAATACCAGCTCTAGAGTCACGGTGTGAAATTTCAACTGCGCTGCCTTTTCAGCTTCTCTGCCAACGCGATTCTTCTGCGATTCACAATCTCGTGTAATGCAAATTCCATCTTTGAGTGACGCTGCAGTCGGTGCTAACTAATTGGAGGCCCTTCATTTAGAAAGTAGGTGGTCATTTCTCCTTTGCCTTTGACCTTAATGACCCCTCGATATTCCAGCTGATAGTTGTTGGCTGCTAGAACCTGGTACATGTCCGTGGTTACCTGCAGAATAAACAAGAGTACGCAGATGCTTGTCATCCCTTCCACACAGACTTTTCATTTGCTTTTGTAGTAATCCATGGACAAAATTAAAGTAGAATCAACTTTTTTGTTTCTAAGTCAGTTGACTTTTCCATATCAATCACTAATTAAAAGGTTGGCACAAGCTGTGGAGCAAACACAACCTTTAGAAACTGAGAAACTCCAGAAGTCACACACAGTACACCACTGGGGGAGGAGCACAGTTTTCAAGGAGGTCACAGGATAAAAAGAAACAAACGAGTCACATTTTTTAAAAAAAATGTAACTGGCATTTCAGTCTACTCAGATGCATTAATTGTATCACTGGAGTGGTAGTAGGCAAACAGGTTAGACACATTTAAAAAGTCCTCAGAAATTACTCAGAAATTACACAGTGGATGTACAACTTAGAAGGAGTCATTCAGGGGGTTGTTTTTGTGAAAGAGAAGGTAATGGGCAACGAGAACGACCAAACTAATGGAATCATCTAGCCAGCATCCAAATTCTCTCTGCAGATGCCATTCAAAAATAATCACTTGTGCTGCAGAATAGCAGAAGTTCAAAGACTAGATTTCCTGAGCTATTTATTTATGACAATGTATTTTCTCACCCTTTTTCAGGTGGCTTTAAATATTTACATTTCTGGCTTCCTATTGCTGTAACATTGCTGTGCCGATTTGCTTAACTAGGATGAAAATTGTTTATGGACCATCTTGTAGGAGAGTTTAAAGGGTGTTGGATAAATATTGATCAGTTAACTGACAGCTTAATTGGAAAGAAACAGCATGGCTTCCCCTCTTGGGTTTTACATTAGTTACTCTAACTATTTTTATATCCCTTCAGTACTTTCCCAAGGAATGACAGTCTGTTACTGTGGACATTGGCTCAGCAAAAGCAGGACAGTGGAACTAAATCACTGCAAAGGTCACTGTCTGAAGGCCAAGGAGATGTTTGATTACAAGAAAGCTTCCATTAACCCCTAAAACTGTCCTCTTTCTCTAGTTGTAAGTCCCCATCCTGCTGATGCCTGCATCCTTGCTAGCCTCACAACACATATGGCATTATGGACAGAGAAGTGAGTTACAGAAATACATGTCTGAATCAAGCCCTTTGAAAATAAAACAACCCAAGGTTGCACAAGGCCGAACAGCAAAGCTGGCAGCACAGCAGGATGTGCTCCTAGTGCCAATGAGGCATGTGACGGGGGAAACTCAGGTCGACGCTTCCACCCAGAACCAAACTGCAACTTTTTGACCAAAGGTTGCAAAGTTGGTCAAGATTAAAAGGCAAAACTTGATGGTACCACTAGCATTCCCCAGTTGGCATTTCTTTCAGTACCGTATAAGTAAATATATGGCATAAAGGAATAAAAGGAAACTAGAATTCCAATTGTAATTAAGTTTTGAAACCTGTAAGTGACACAGGGCTGGCCATGTAAGTTTTCCAGTGAATTCTTACCTGAATCCTGTCAGGCACACCTGTACTGTCCATTCGGCTGGCTACATTCACCGTATTGCCCCATATGTCATACTGGGGTTTGCGTGCTCCTATCACCCCAGCTACAACAGGACCAATATTGAGGCCTGGAAGGAGAGAAGAAATCCCACAATGCTCAGATCCATCACGTGTGAACCACATGAAGCTTTAGGCAAGTTACTTTTCAGACAATAAAAAACACCCTGAGGCTCATTGGTTCTAGCTGTGCTTTACCCTGACATGTTAAGCTACAGACAAACTGTGGGGAAAGAAAACGGTTAAAGAAAAGTTGGCTTCTTTGATCCATTATGCCTGTCTGACTGGCAGCATGGGCTGGATCTGCTCAATCCAGAACTACTTTCCAGTACCAGACAACAGGGTAAGGTTTATTTGCCATCCAGCTGCCAAGCAAACTGCTCACTTGGAAGTCAGCACACAGCTGCTCCAACAGTGAGCGCCTGCGAGGCAGCAGCCCGGCAGCCTTCCAGAAGAGCCACCACACTTCATCCTCACATTTCTTCTCCTTCTCCTTTTCGATCTCTTTTTATTCCATGATTTGAAAGACAATTTAATGTCCAAGAATGGCACAGCTGGAGACCGCCGGGGGTGTGCACAGGGAGCCCATCACAGGCAAAATGAGCCCAAGCTCAACCACCATGTGAGACCGTGAAGCTCTGGTAAGAGCTTCTCCGTGCCAAGGTTGGTTGCCCAACTGCTAATTCTCCAGGGAGACTCAGTAATAATGCTGCTACTCTAACAAAACCGCTCTGATGTTTCAGACAGGCCAAAGTGGTCACCAGGCACAAGACAATTAACATCACTAAGCTAAGGTAACACCTATGTGCAGCTAAGATAACCTACAGGCTTTACTCCCCATAAAATCTCCCGCTCAGAATGACCACTACCTGTACTTAATCCTGTAAACACAGTGACATTACCTATCTTCATCTGGAAGTTGTTGAATGAATGTTCATTGATGTATTTCATTTGGTCCATTAACCTCATGGCAAAATCAGCCAGAGCTTTGATATGCGTCTTCCCTTCCTTGTCGTAAGTGGAATCATTGAGGCCTGATGCAGCCATATATGTACTGCCAATGGTCTTGATCTTCTCCAGCTGCCGAAATTGGTCCTCACTTATTATCTGTTTCACACGAGCAAAAGAAGTGAATAAACCTTGACAAACACATACATGCTCATAATGTCCTTGCCCTGTGTCCTCTCTTGGTACAAGCACTACAAAGTAGTGGACAGAGCCTCCACTACTCAAAGAAGAAAGGGGTTTAGAAATTCAGAGGAGCGACATGGGAATAGAGGGGATTTTAATGTGAAAAGAATTAAAGACTTCTAGAGAAAGGAGAAATGACCCATGGCACAAGGATTCAATAAGCCACCTTCCTGCAGGGGCTCCGCAAAGCCCACCTAAACTCATTGATTTGCTTCACTCTGTCCACCCAGGTTTTCTGCGACTTACTTACTTCATCAAAATCGGCAATGATCTCGTTGAGCAGTCTCAGACACTCCACCCCTTCATTGTTGGCCTCCAGCTCCACGTAAAACTCTGAGAAGTTGCTTATGGAGGCGAACATGACAGCCACGCACTCGCAGGACTGGTAGTACAGTTCATCATTTCGCCGCTCCTGAGCCAAGAAATGGGCTGCCACGTCCTTTGGCAAAATGTTGTGAAGGAGGCGTCTGTTATAGGCCTGCAGCTCCTCCATTTCTTCCTTCTCTTCAGTCGCCTAGTTTGGGAGGGAGAGACAGTGATGTGCTTACTCTTTTGGTAACTGCTCTGGGGAGGGAAAAAAAGGCTAAAAATTAACTTGGAGGGAGGACAGAAACAGAAGAAAGGGGGAAACTGCAAAGGAGGGCAGAACCGGAGTGATGCAGAAACTTGTGTTTTGCAGTGGAAGATGGTCTGTCTCTTTGTGTGCACACATGTATGTAAAAGCAGGCACAGAATAACACCAAAATCCAATGTTATATTTCTGGGCCCTGAATTGGGTAATCTGTACAAGGTCTGTTTCTTTTGGGGAACTCCACTGCCATCCTGCCATCCACGAAAACGTACATTTGGCTTGCCCAGTCAAGCACAACAGGTTTCAGGAGGACAAAGACAGCTCATCATTGCTGAAGTCTGACTGCATGAGTGCCATTGAATTATAACCCTCTCCCTGCACCCCCAAATGCTCATGTAGCTAAATAAAAGGACCTTCCTTTCCCACGGGGTTTGCTGAGGTGCAGTGGTGGTCATGAAGTACAGTTACCATGGAGCCCATGACACAGGCCAGTCCAACACTCTGGAGAGGACTTTTCACCAGCCTGTAAAGCCCGTGTCTCCCATGGTAGTGGGGGTATGTCCGGGCAAAGGGAAACATGAGGAGGATGGGTTGTCTTGTGTGTGTGCTAGTGGGTGTGGATTTGTGTTTAATGTTCAGATGGAACTGGAGCTTCAGGAAGAACGTACCCAGAATGTACCTAGGACACCTAGGATGCACCTAGGACCAGGTGACTAAAATAAAACAAGCTTTTAGAGTTCACTAGATTAATCAGACTTCAGAACCAGGTTTGATTTCTCTTTGCAGACTTGCACAGTACCAGCATTACCTCAATTCATTACTTCTGGTCTGTGTGTACAGGTACAGAGGTGTGTGTGCTGATCACCTCTGTCTTCCCCTTTACCTGATGGCAGCGGGACTTTCCCCCTTTGTTTTACTTTTTGCCCTTTTGAATATTTCTGAGCAAAGGAAGAAACGGGGTCAGGCAAGGACTGGGGAAGAGGCAGCTGAGACAGGGGTCGCATGGAGCGGTTCGGCTTACGGGAGCCCCAAAGAGCTGCCCTGTGTACAGCACCCTCCGCTTCAACAGAGGCACCAGGCAAACCATGCAGCCTTTCGAAATGGGTCTTCTTCAGAACTTTTTCTCCAATGACATTCGTCATTGCTGGAGAGATGGAGCCAGAAAAGGAAAGACTTCCCTGGCACGTTTGGGCCTTGGCGTGGATGAACGCAGCTCAGCCATACCCTCCAGCCCTCACTTTGCGAAGGGATAACTTCCCCACATCCCTTAAGTACATGTTGGTAAAGGCACAAGCAATACTTGCAAAGCACTTATGACTTTGTTGGTGGATGCTGGTGTCTGAAACAGGACATTTGAACCTGGAAATGAAGTTAAGGAAGGACCCTTTAGAAGGTGATATGTCTGGACAGAACAAGAAAAACACTTGGCTCTGCATGGGGAAACAACTGCTTCGGCCAGCTGAGCCCAGACCTGGAACAGGCAAGTCGGTTGATCCCTTCCATTGCTTTACCAGTTATAAATGAGGATAACAATGTTTATGTGCTTCCCAAGGAGCTTCAATTAATTGGTGCTTCCTCAGTGCTTCCTACTCAAACCACTGAAACCTATGATCAGAGGACTGGAGCACCTCCCCTGTGAGGACAGGCTGAGAGAGCTGGGGTTGTTCAGCGTGGAGAAGAGAAGGCTCCGGGGAGACCTTCCAGTACTTAAACGGGGCCTACAGGAAAGACAGGGGTAATCTTTTTAGCAGGGTCTACTGCAACAGGACAAGGAGTAATGATTTTAAACTACAGGAGAGTAGATTTAGAATATATATATTCTAATATAAGGAAGAAATTTTTTATGATGAGGGTGGTGAAACACTGGCACAGGCTGCCCAGAGAGGTGGTAGAAGCCCCATCCCTGGAAACATTCAAGGAGAGGCTGGACGGGGCTCTGAGGAGCCTGATCTGGCTAAAGATGTCCCTGCTCACTGCAGGGGGTTGGACTAGGTGACCTCTAAAGGTCCCTCCCAACCCAAACTATTCTATGATTCTGTGATTATTAGAATGATGTCCTGCCATCCAGAAGGTAAGAAGTCTACATAAAACCTGCAGTCCTGTGGCCCCCCAGCTGAGTCCTGGGCAGAGCCAAGACCTGTCCTGCTTGCTTGAGAATCACATATGATGCCCCAACATCACTCGTGGGCACAAGTAGTGAAGACATTAACACCGAACCCAGAGACAGAAGTACAGTGTGGCATCATCTGTAATGTGTTGGTTATCCAGTACTGCTGCCTAGGGGCTAATGAAGGTTGGATATCAAGCCAGTTTCCACTGCTTAACAAGAAAGTGAATGAAAATGCAAATGTGAATCTTTCACACGCCTGAACAGAACAAACTAAAGCTCATTGAGCTCTGGGAAACAATTCAGCAGTGAATATGAACTTTTTATATTTACAAATGGTGCTACATTACAGGTTCCTGCAACAGCGACAGGCTCAGTTGCCCAAATTCATTAACCTCAGGCTTCAGATCTATAACCCTTTACTGTGGGGACCACCCAAAGTGCATTTACAAGGAAACAAGGGTTAAAGTAAATAACCAGGATGAGAAGCACTGAGCATGCAAAGTACCAAAGAAGAGCAGAGGATTACTAGTATGCCCAGTTACAAGCCAGATCCAGATTAAATTCAAAGGCGTTTTTTAACACTCCTCAACACGACAGTGAATGGCTCAGTAGTTTTATATTAACACCAGTGACCATGTGTATTCCTCCAACACAGCAAATACCCACTAACCTGGAGTTTCCAGAGGAAATCAAGCCTTGCAGTGGATTCCACTTGCTGCGCATGCAAGTACAGTGCCAGGACAAAGACGGTAATGATGACAGGGGTCACAATCTTCAGCGCGACTCGTGTCATTGCTGGAGAGCTGCAGCCAGAAGAACTTCCCGGTTAGTCTCGGCATGGAGGAACACAGTTTAGCCACGCTCCACAGTTCCCACTTTAAGGCTAACCAATCTCAGAAGAAAAGGCCTTTTTCTTTCCCCTCAAAGCGCATGTTGGTAAAGGGACAAACAACACCTGCAAAAAGCTGAGGACTTTGGCCCATAGGTGCTGGTTTCTAAAGCAGGACTTTGAAATTGGAAATTTAATCCAACTTCTTAAAAAGGTTTAACATCAATATAAAAGCCATCTTTTAGAGAATGGCCATACGTGCTCAGCCACCACTATGCTTGGCAAAACCGAAATGCTGACAGCTCTTTAGACTGTATTCACTGTGCCTCCTGCACTGACTTCCCTAGCCTCGTAAGTCTGGAACTGTTCTACACTTACTGCTTCTCTAATTAGCTGCTTCTTAATGGCCTTTGTTTTGTAAGTATTCCATAAGCCGAAAAGAGCATTAAGAATCATTCCCATCCCTTCTGACAAGCAAGCAAATAAAAACTGTTAAATCTGAATTACAGAGTTATACAGTATGAAAATATTATTTGATAAAACCTTTGACTTGTAATTACAAATAAACTCTGTGAGATGGTCTATAAAGCAAGTTGACATAAGCCCCACTGGAAAGAGGACGCTCTGAGAGTAGCTACACATACAAAAGAGCAATACTCAGTCCACTTAGGGCATCTGCACTGTGTTGCAGCAGCTCACAGCAATGTGTAGTCAAATACCAGACACCGCTGGCAAGTCAACGTGCTGATATTGCACCTTGTGAACAGAAAATGCCTACCAACAAAACCCCATAAAAATATTTCATGCTAAAGTGACTCACCATGATAACGTCGCATTTACAGACACGCTGAAAAAAACCACAAACACAAGGTTAGTAGAGTGGCTCCCTCCAGCACTCGTCTTTCTGTACATCGTTCAACAGCATCTCTGCAATGTGGCACCTCCAACACTGTGTGGGGCTATAGCCCCTTTAAAGCAGAAAACTACAAAAGATGGGGCCGGGGGAGGAAAAAAGGTAGTCTGAGCTACACTCAGAAATCCAGAGTGACCGTGCAACACGGTTGATGTGGTTAAAATATCTAAGAAGCATTAAAAGTCAGAGAATAATTTGGGATTTTAATGTCAGTGTGGGCCGCTTAGCAAATGCTTGTGCAGCCATCACTATTTCATTAGGTCAGGCTGGAAAATTTGATCTAAAGGAAGCTTTGGGCTGATATCTTGTGAGGGATAGCTCCTCTCTTCCCCATTTATCATAGCATGGAGATGTGTTTATTTCCTTTAACTCTAGCACAACTCCCTTTTTCTTCAAGCTGCTCATCTCCTGTGTTGTGCCTAGCTTTGGGTACCGCACACGGGTGCCCTAAAGAAAACCCTTATGCGGATGGCTATTGCTGTTCACAATATGCACAGTACTCGTATGAAGCACTGCTGCTGGCGAAGATGAAGGGTGTGCTTTTCTTACAGTGAGAGGATGGAAAAGAGCTTTCTGGTAGGCAGTAGCTATCTGAGTTCCTGACTGATTGATTGCTTAATGCTGCTGGGTTTCTTCTCAAGTGTGGGTGGAGTATTAGGTGGCTGAGAACCATGTGCATGGATCTTTTAAAACACTATTTAAATGGAAAGAAAGACATCAGTGGTAAAATTACTGTAGTGTCATTGATGCAATTACAGCTTTGCAGGCTACTAATGTGATACATCTTTAGCCTGAGAATCTCACAGCTCTCTCAAGAGCTTTAGGCCACAGTCTTCTGGGGCTGGAGGGAACCTCTCATTACAGAATCAGAGATACAAATCATCAAAATCAAAATAGCTGAGGGAGCCTAACTGGGCATAAAAATTTAAAAAAAAAAAAAAAAAAAAAAGCAGCATAGTGACTCTCTAACCTTGTTTGTTCTGAGACATTTTCTGCAGCTCTGAGCATGGAATTTCTTCTGACATGGATTTTGCAACCCGCCGTTGTCTTGCACACGATGTATCCTGGCCAGCTCCAGCACTGAACATGTGTGCTTGGATGTGGACCCAGTTTGGGAACCCTGCGGCTCCCACACTAAAGGCTGCACCTTGTTGGAGGTGGAGACATTTCCCACATGCAGCATGATTCCCCTGCTCCCCTAAATCACTGCCTGGCCAAGGGTGACTGACTGCCCCCCCATTATCACTCTGTCTTATGATGGGAGCATGGCAGATCTGACCCTCTGCACTGCGGCTGCAGCTCACTGTGAGTGTTACGATCGCTCTAACATCTTCAGCAGAGACTATGAAATGCAGCAAACCCAATATTTACATTAATGCTTTGGGTAAGTGAAAATACTCCATGCAAGCAATAATGGCGTTACATTGGTAGGATGCTTCCCCATGGGACAGACATTTCCAGTAGCAGATGGCTCTTTAATTACTGGAAGGTGACACAGAGAGAAGCTTGCTAAATACACTCCTGCTTGAGTTAAGTGCACATTTTTAGCAGGAAAGGTGGTTGATTTTGGGGACAGCTCTCATAGGACAGGAGCATCTCCCTTGTCACAGCCACAACGCCGAGGACAGACAGCCCTCTAAATGACAACCCACAGCTTGAACTGAAATGATGGGCTTGATGAACAAACCACCGGGCGAAGCTCTTTGAGCTCCACTGTGCAGGAACTCAACTTAGATCACATTGGTCCATCACATCTTCGAAACCAATGCATTAGTTTTATCTTCTGCATAGGGAAACGGTGACATGATAGTAGCTCTGTGCATCCAGCGTGCCACCATGCCGGTGTGCTGCTGCAGTCAAGTCTAGCAACACCCAACGTGCTACAATCAGCCTTTCAGTTGCCTGCATGCTGGGTCGGTTTATACACAGAAGTGTGAAGTGACATCTGCATCACTTCTAATTAGTCAGAGTACCATAATGGCTGCAGAGCAGACAGTAATTATGTAGCTACAACGGGCACCCAATTAAAGTAGTATGAGGTCATGTTGTTGTTTTTTTTAGTATCAGTTGGACAATAAGGTACACCTCAAACTATGTGCTACATGCTGAGCTCCCATTTCCCACAACACACAAATGGACTGCTAGACATTGGGACAATAAATAGCTGTCCATGGAGCTCTCTGGACAAAACAAGTATCACTTAGTGAGAGAGAATACAGCATCACAGAAAGCTATTTCTGGGAAAACATGCTAACCTTCTCCACCTTATTACTGACATTTTGATTGTGAAGTGATGTAAATTATACTTCCAAGTGCTGTAATTTCGCTTAGTGCTTGACTTACAAGAATGAAATTGTATTTGGGATGTAAAATGCTTTTATTTCTCTAATTGTGTTAGAAAATGCTAAATAGCTTCCGCTGTTGGAATATGTAACATCTGCAAAAAAAAAAGGAAGGAAACCTCATTCTCCCCATACCTCCACAGAAAGCTCCACAGGGTTTCCTACATAATTTCACCCACTTGAGTTAACAAAATAATTGGAGTGATTACTGCCAATGGCAGTAAAAGCCATACCTCCATTAATTATTACTGGGCACGCAGGAGTGCTAAAATCATGGAATATTTATGTGAGGGACAGAAGTAACCAGGTGCATCTGGCTTGAAGGGGTTAATGACCATCAAGAAATCTAAGCAACTACACAAGCTATTTCATAACATACAAGATAACACTGGGAAGGACCATGGGAACCTTCTCAACCACCTTCCTGTCCAAGACAGGAGCAACCACAGCTATCATCCTTGACAAATATTTCACCTAAATTGCTGCTTTCTAGATCTCTGATTGTTCTTTGCTGCTCTGGACTCTCCATTACCTCAACTGCCTTCTTGCCCCAAACTGGAAAACATATTCCAGGTTAGGCCTTCCCACTCCTGAGAAGTGCAATGGTCTACACCTCATGTCTTACAAGAAACTCTCCTTATTATACATCCTAGCACCATGTTCATCCTTAGACAATACCATGATTTTATTGACTCCCATTCAAGTACAATTGTTGCCTACAAGGGGAAATCACCAAAACAAGTAGTTAACAACTCAGTTCCCAGTGAGAAATGAAACTTGTAGAGGAGGACAGGTTTGCGGACATGCCAAATTTCTCTCCCTGGCATGACCTTCAGGAGAGGGGTAACCTTGTCGGTAGAAGGAGGTTGCCACCATGATTAATGTGTGACCTGGTGGCGACAAACTACCTTTTGTAAGCAAAAGGGCAACTCTCTACCCCCACTTAGCCCAGGTCCTTCTGCTGGGAATTGTGCTGAGACCACCTGTGATACTGGCTTTTCAAATGCGGACCTGTGTCCAATGGCAACTGTCAGGAGATCACTAGCCAAACATCAAACACCACCATTCCACCACTCAAACCTGGGTTTGATATACCAGATGTCCAAACATCTCAGTGGTTCATTATCACATCCCTGAGCCAGCTCAAGTTTGTTGGAGGATTTTTTTTCTTTTTTGAGAAAAGACATTTCTATATCAGGAGTGTAATACCAGAAGAAGTGAGAATGACTAACTACAGCTTCCCATTTCTGGAAGAAAAAGAAATACAGATCCACTCTGATTCCAGTTATATATTGTTATTAATAGATAGTTCGTTAGTCAATTTCCACATTAAACAGACCTCAAAGGGAACATGTTCTCCCACTCTTCAGAGATGGAAAGCAGCATTGTCAAAGCCTTCAGTTTACAGCCATGCCTTCTCTGGTATTATGCACTTCCCTTGCTCACACCACAGCCTCAGCGCTCCCGTCCACCTAATGCCACACTGAAATCATTGGGTGAAAGAAATTAGGTGAAGATTTCGGAAGTGAAACGCACTTACTAGGTGTTAGCTGTAACCAGGAGATCAGCATTGTCAAAAAGGTTGACCCCTGGCACTTCCACAATGAGAACATATATAAATTCAATGATTAACATAAGGATCAATTTTCCAATACAGCTGATCTGAAGGAACACAGAGCAGGCCAGGAGACTCAATAAGACACTGTAGGTAAAGTACTGTATAAAGACAAAAAGGGGAAAAAACAGAAGAGAGATGAATGTCAGCTGGATAAATCAAAACTGAAAACAAAGGAAACTGAACAGAGGGATAGAAAGGGATTGGGAATCACATAGTTGAGCTGACCGAACATGTAAACTTGGGGCTGCTCCCACATTACAGGAGATTTATGTGTTACAACTGAACTGATGGAGAGGAAAACTCTTGCATTCTTCATTAGGCGTTATTTGCTTTACACTCAAGAGGCATAGGGCTCGCAGCTGTGTACCCAAGGTCGTGATGCAGGTTCGCCCTACACACAGTTACTGAATTAGTAGAAAGCATCATTCAGTTATGCTGGAATACTTGGTGTTTTAAGGTCAAATTCTGGACTTGAACTCACACACCTGCACAACACACAGGACCAAGGGTATCAGCAATTCACACCACCAGGACAGACACCCACTTGAGGCCAGTTGGAAAGTACTGTCCCTGCTGATGTGACGCACTGGATCCGTCAGCAAGCTGTAGGCTGGACAAACTCCTACCAGTGCCCAACACCACGATCATTTCTGCCAGCAGCTGCAGAAGTGTGCGCGTGTGTGGTAGTGGAGCCCCCTGTCACATGTGGGTGCTGGGGCAGCAACTTCTACCAATCTGAGAGCTGAAAGTGTAGCATGCCAGTGGTTTCAAATGTGACTGCAGGTGCCATTTATGGCTCCTGGGAAAGCTAGCATGGATGTAAAATGAAGAGAGGTGTGTTAGCCAGCTCATCACCTTCCTGCTATCAAATCTGTGGAGATTTAAGCTTCCACTCTGTCCGGACAGGCCTATTTCTGGAAAAAAAAACCTTTATCAGATGCCTAAGGCAATCCATCCTTTCAGTTAAAAGCAAGCCCTAGTCGAAGTAGAAATACACTTATGTTCTGAGCTCATTTATTAGTAGTTCATCACTGATACATTAAGTTAGAGAAAATAACTTCTACAGCTTGTAACTTGACTCTTCAGTTTCTAGAAAATGGGTGGATGTTCCCTGTGGCTGAGGGGTAGGATCCCACCACCTCCTGAAAGCACACTGGCAGCAACAGACAATGCCTGTACCAGTTCCAACACTTGCCCTGCAAAGCACAGGGGAGGGACTCCTCACTTCTTAGCCCACTGACCGGCAGGACCTTGCTCAAGGCTGCCGTAGCTTCCTCAACATGCAAAATGCTTGCTCCTCATTGCTTAAAATTCCTCTCTGTCCTGAACCAGCACTCCTGACAACCCCATGATAGGCACAGACTGTTTCTAGCTCTCCACTGTGCCAGACTTTGCTCCTGGATCTTTCTGCAGACATACAAAGAGCCTTTGCAGGGTTCAAAGTCACAGTAACGGTGGTCGCAGAAACCTCACTGAATCCGACAGGGACCATATTCCTGTTAGATTAAATGGAAATAGGTTCAGTGGGATACCAGGGCTTTCAGTAGCACCTTGGACATCTGAATGATAACAGATCAGCTATAAATCTGTCAGGTTGCCATAAACCCAGATGACATTGACATAAATTCTGCCCCTATCCTAGACAGACTTTTTTCCATTTTCAATTAGACCACTCACATAATGGCTGTGACCTAAAAACTCAGAGAAAGTCTTGAGTAGTTATGCAAAAAGATGATTTTTTGGTAAAGTATTCTGCCAGTGTGTAAAACATGTTTGGGCTCTTTTTACTATTAGAAGCATTTTCTTTTTTTTTTTTTTTTTTTTTAAACAAGTTGTTCTGAAGACGTAGGATTTGCATTTGCAAATTGAAGCAGACCACTACCAGGGCTGCTAACCTGCCTGCAGCCAGAACGTGCTACACCTAGTGAAAGAATATATAAGCAAAGTTTTTCATCAGGACATAAACCAATGGAGGAACGGGTTAAATCTGTGACTAGACATTGATTTTCAGTGAATGGATTTTCAAGTAACACTAAGCACCCACAAACTCCTTTGAAATGATTTGCACTTCTGCATGCCATTAAGGACTTCATGGAGAAAGGCCATTTCTCCTGCTACAGGCAGGATCCAACAATTATAAAAGCCTACTGATTATTCAGCCCTGAAGGAACTTAAACATTCATGTGGACTCATGATAACAACTTCAGACACTTAAGTTTGTGCGTAGTAGCCTGTGTCAGTCCTATAACGTCAGTCAGGAGCAACCTTGCTTTCCTCTGAATCACTGAGATTTATCACACAGGTTTTATAGCCTCTTCTCAGATCAAGCTCTGCAACCGATTTTTGTCAAGAAATACCTCTGGAAAGTTGCAGTTGGGCAAAGGACTGTCACAGAATCCCTGCAAGGTGCCCAGGCTGTAGTTGGAAGTCAGGTTGCTCATAAGGCATATGTCCACCTGGTCAGGAGTGATGTTGTATTCTGCAGCCATGCAGCTGGCAAGATCCACAGTGCTGCACATGAACTGAAGAAAAAGATGGTATCAAACTTAACGGCATAGACAAGGAGAGGAAAACAAAATGGTTTGCATCAATTAAAAAGCCTCCTGGAAATGGCTGTAGCGATATGCAAAATATGCAAAATGAAATCACTGGTTTATGTTTTACTGCATATACAACGGTTACGGTTTTTCTCCTCCAGAATATTAACTAAAAAAATCCAGGCTGTGCACTCTAAAAAGCTAGTTTTGTGCTCAACTTCACGTACAACTTTATGTCTGAAGGTTCACAGGCAGAGGGGCTGTAGATATTACACGTACAAATATATCCCGCTTTCTGTGATAAGGTCCTGGTGCTGCTCTATTTCTGCTGATAGGAATTTCTGAGCTGATAACTTTCCCTTGCCATCTCTAAAGCTTCTGCTGCATGTCCTTCAACAGGGAAGACTTTAGCAGCACGGCTCAAAGGCTGATGTGCTATGTTATGTGGAGGAAGCAGCAGAGGCCCATTCTGATCTCCTCCACGTGCTGCTCCAGTTGTCCATTTTGCTAATTTTTACACTAAGCATTTCACGAATGCAAAGAATCAATCACGCATTATGCAGAAAGACAAAGTTCTAATTTCTGCGTGGTGCTCAGCAACCCACATCAGCTTTTTGCAGGTGACTGTGGGGGAAGGCAGCGGGGTGGTGATGCCAATGAGCTAGCACCTCCCATTCCAGTACCTCAACATAGTTGTTCTCAAATCTCCACTATGTGTACATGGAAGCTGAGGCAAGAGCGAGTGGTGGACTGATTTTCAGGTGTTTAAGCCTCTCCATGCCAGTGCAAGTGAGCACTGACCCAGTTGAGACCATAATTGAGAGGAGCAGAAGGCCACGTGAAGTCTTTGTAGCTGCCTCCAAGCTCAGGGCCTTAACCCCAGGCCCGTCTCTCCTCCCTCCCCCTTAAAAAATGAAATAGATGTATGCAGGGTAGAGAATATCCAAGTGGTCTCTTTAAAATACATTCAGCCTTCAAGCTATTTGTACAAGTGAGAAAGCAGCAGCAGCAGGGACCTAGAGAACAGCCCATCTTTCTCTGAGTCTGAAAGCAGCAGCAGAGTTTGAATGCAAAGCTAGACCACCCCAGTCCCAAAAAAGCAACTCAAAGCAAAGTCTTCACAGTCCCTGTTAGGTGATTACCGCACTCGGAGCAGGATGCAGCACCGTGCAGCAGGCTGGCACAAAGCCTACGCAACCCTGAAGTCCCACTCAGTATTGTGGGAGTTAAATGATGCCTTGGCCTTGTGCTGGCCCTTCACACAGGAGTACACTTCAGGCTTGGCTTATGTGCTTGGAGCAGAAGCATTTAAAGAAACAGAAAAGAACATGGGCACAAATCAGTGCCAGGCTTATAATGGGCTATAGGGATGCAGCTGCCAGGCTCCCATTTATTTTCTGTGCCCGAAAAGCAAAAGAGAACTGACCTCAGGTGCTGTAAGCATGAGGCAGATTACATTAAATGCAGCGGTTGTAAGGGTTACAATGCTGCACAGCACCAACAAGAAAACTGTGCAGAACTGAGTGGGTCGAAAGGAAATAATGCACATACCATGTTGACAAAGGCAGACAGAAAAACCAGGATAATGGCAAAGACTCCAACTAAGGTACTATTGGTCCTGGACTGTACAATCTTCTTAGAAAGAGTCTGAAGTGGAGCTGGGAAAAGCTGCATGTGGGACAAAAAGAAAAGATTAAATAAACATGTAAAATCATCACGTGTTTTACAGATTACAACCTGCACTTGAGCTGCCTCCTTCAGCTCAGCATCTGTGTGGATGCTGCACAGGGGTTAGGGAATGGTGCTGGGGGATGGCAGCTCCGGGACGAGAGTGAGCAGGAACATGACCACCTCGTGGCAGCAGGCCCAGCTGGCTCACCAAATCTACTTAGCCCTTCCTAATGGGAATGATGGCTCCTGAGCCGAGATAGCATGGCTTGCAGGGCTGTGCTCATCCTGTCATGGGAAGCAAATCTGTAACTGAAATAGCCAGGAGCTCGAGCCTGTAAATTACTGGATCAAAAATGAAAAAAAGCATAAATGGAAAAATACATGTCATACCCCTTTGATCACAAAGGCATATCACAGGACTTTCTGGTGCCATTTCAGAAACAGACTGTTAAAAAGCCCAGGCTAGCCTTGTGATCTGTCAGACCCTCGGTGAAAGGTGCTGGAGAAATCAGCTGGCCTTGTCTGGTCTATGGCATTCGGCACCACAGACACATGGGGCTAAAAATAACCGCTGCTGAGGGTGATCACAGAGCTCCCCTAGACAGACTGTTCCAGTGTTCCACTACTACCAGAGCTAGAAGCTTTCTTCTAATTGCTGTCTGACTGCAGGCCGCCAGCGTGCTCTGCTTTAGGTGCTGCGTTGTATTCTGGCTAGAAGCTGTCTCTGCGTTAAAGCAGAGACTAAGCAGGCACCCTTTGCAGCAAGTGTCACCCCTCCGCATCGCATGGGGCCTCCTTGGGTCGCATTAGCTACAAGAGGAGTCCAGAAGACAATGAAACCAACCCTTACTCTTCATGCACGACCACCGTCCCAGTGCAAGCTCAGGGCGGGAGCAGTGAGAGCTGGACACCAGGAAACCCTTGTGCACTGACACCCTCCTGCAGGAGAGCACCTGCCCTGCAGTGCCCTTCCCCTCCATGACAGTGTGTGGGGCAGGGGGGCTCTGCGGAAGACTGCCAAAGTTTTTTCCAGAACCCAGTTCTCCTTCCCCTCCCAGCACTCTGCATGAATAACCAAGCCACTAGAGAGTATTTTTAGAGACACAAAGAAGCTAGCAGCACAGTGACATGGCAGTGCAATTTAACTATGACTAATGTTTCTATTAAAAGTCTTGCTTTTCCCTTTTATCCTTCACTCTTACATCTTCAGAGATGCAACATTTTGTCAGTGCCTAGCTTCCCACACAGCAGTCCTACGATGTAATTATGAAATGTTTGATCGGTCAAAGCACTGATTAGCTGGTGACTTTTACAGAGGGAGGGAGAGGTTGTGGCAAGAGTTTTGAAAGAGCTGATTTCACCTTCTACCAGCACATGCACAAAAATCCAGCTAACTCCAGGCCATAGGGGAGGGCAAGGCTCTGTGAGGGATGGCAGAAAAGAAGAAATTTGGGTTACGACTTATTTGCACTGAACGAGGATTGATTGAAATTCACTGAAAGCTTATGCAATCCTTCAGGCTCATGCAGCCATTGTAAAACAAAGCAAACCACCTTTCTCCCTCAGAAATAAACCTTGCTGATACAGAAATCCTTGGCTCTGTCGGTAAGCCATGAACCAAAATATCTCCTTGCCCTACTGTATCTAGCTGCTTCCACGTAGACATCAGCTAGCAGATCCCTACCAGTGCTGGGATGTGAGAAATGCCATGGTGCTTTCCTCTGTTCTAACTTTTATAGTATTTGAAGGGAGAAGGAGGATTCGTGCTGCATATAAACAGTTTTCTCACTAGATTAGAGCAGGACAGGTTTTCCTGACACTGCTTTATTTAGGCCTCAAGGACAAGCTCCACAAACGTATGCTGGGACCTAATCTCTTTCTGTACTCTCTGGGAAATCAGGCACCTAAATAAAATTCAGGAGCGCTTTATTGTGGATCTTGGCTCAAGCCCCTGATGCCAATGATCCCAAAAAAGCCTGACTTTGGACCAAGCCTGCAATATCAAGCAAAGCTATCAGTGGAAGACACTTAAATTCTAATGAAAACATGTTTTCTTTGTTTTAATCTTTGCAAACTAGGAAAATTTTAGGTCAGTAAACAAGCAGAGCTGGAAAAAGTCCTGAAGAGGAAACAAATGCCAAAAACCATAGGAGGTCAGGATTGTAATAGAGAGCCCAAGGGCACAGCTGTGCTGCACATCTGAGGAACCTCTGCCTTGCGAACAAGCGAACAACTTTCATGGAGTCTCTATAGCATAAGGAACGCTCTCCCCACCTCACCTATTGTGCAGGTGAAAGGCTGAATTTAAAAAGTGATCCAACAAGTACCAGTGTTACACTGAAAATAATCCACAACCTCTAGTAATTTGCATGACAAAAATACACTAAATAAAAACTGTACTTTGCAGTAACAGCTGGTCACAGACGGAAGAGTAATATTTCTGCCTTTTGTCTTCTTAACATATATTGTGGACATGGAAAACTTCTTAGATAATTGCTGTTGTGTTGCAAGACAAAAAAACCCATGAGGTCTTTAAGTCCTGATTTTTCAATTTGTAATATAAGCCTTTGAGTCATTTTGAAGTACATTAAGATGCTTCTGGAGTAAAAGACAGCATCTCCAGGCAACTTGATGTTACAAGTCCATTTACGTAACTTATTTCACAGTGATTTATTAGTCTATTGAAAAAGTACAGTTTTCAGAGTTATTTTTTCCTTTGCTTGAGAAAAAAAAAAAACACTTTAGGAGCACCTAGACCAGCTTTCGAGGCAAAAAACAGGTAGGCAAGCTGCATCTATGTAAAGCTACAGAAAACCTTACTTTCTTGTAAAGGATAACTTGGAGTTTCTCTCACACATGCTCCCAGGAACATGCAAGAAGTTGAATTCCACACAGCAGTGTAGATACCAGAAGTTAAGGATTTTAAGAAGAAACACAAACTTGATAAGTTAGTAGCAAAACAGATGTCTGTCAGTGGAGTATTTGAGAAGGGACCCTGTTTCCCATGACCTTTGACTCTACTGGGAAGGAACACCATCTCGCGGTGGCCAAGTCTTCATGGAGCATCAAAGTGAAGAACTGGAACTCTCTTGTTTATTACAGCTGAAGAAACTTGGAAAGCCAAGCTGGCTGCGTTGGCAGTTCCAGGATCAACTTCTGGTCCATGGAGAATTTTATAGTGGAAGATAATAATGACAGCAAAAGAAAATAAAACATGATCAAGCTGTCCAGAAAGAGCCTGCTGGCCACTGTCAAAGCCAGAGACGGAGAGGCCAAAACAGGGAAGGAAAATCTCACATGAAAGCTGGAAAGAGGAAGAAAAAAAGAGTCACTTTTCACGTAACAGCACAGCAAACAGGCAAAAGTTATGCTTATGCTGATATCCTGGGGTGGACACCTGCTTTCCAACTTTGTGTGGAATGAACCATTGGTACAGAAAACACATGCTCTCACATCTCACATCTGAGTGTGAAACAAAACAAACAATGCCGACATCCCTGTGTCTTAAAATTTCATCTAAAGGATCTGTAAAAGTCCCTTCCTTGCGCCTATATGTAAAAATGCCTCCTGGTGCAATGTGGAGTACAGAAATACAGTAACACCCCATAACCAAGGGGTGGCTAAACCCATTGATTAAAAAAACTCTTGACATGAAACACCAAAATCTTTAATGGCAGAAGCAGGCCACAGCTACTGGGAGCTGCTGCCATCAGACAGATAGCTGACAAGCTAGAAGTACCCATCCCCTAAACAAGCCATCTCATAATCAGATGTTGTCAGCAGAGGCTAATTTGGAGCACTAAAAAAGGGGTAATCAAAAATGTACTGGAGCTAGAAGGCCTGGTATTTTCAATATTTGCAATCTGTGCACAGAAGGCACCGGTCACACTGAGTATTATACACAAACACCTTGTGGGTCTTGGCCAACATGCTGAAAACTCACTTTTGGAAACACCAGGAGCTTCATAAAATCCCACTATATTCTGATGTTAGTCTGAATTCCCTCTGATGCCTTGTGTTTCCAAGGCCTGTGCACTGAGGCAAAGCCAGCCTAAAAACAATTGCAGCCACTGCTGAACAGACCTCTTCTACAGGATTTTGGAAGATCAAGGCAAAGAAAGCAAGACTGAACATCTGCCTAGGGTCACAGGGACTGGAAAATCCTGTATGCCTTTTAAATTAATCGTTAATTAAGATCAGTAATAGTATTAAACCAAAAAGCCCAAACCAAAACCTTTGAACGATGACAGAAGAAACGAATGCTGCTGTCAGTGCGTGGAAGCAACCTAAACCCGTAAAAGCCAGTGGGTGACAAACAGCTGTGTGCCTTGAAATCCATCTGGTTGCAAGTCAGACAGCTCGAATGCTTCAGAGGTCTGGGTCTGCCACAGCTCTTGCCGCAGTATTTGCACAGCACCACCAGAGCTGGATGTTGCTGCCAGTGGAACTGCAGCGTAAGTAGGCGCCAGCACAGCTCTGCACAGAGTTTCCAGGTCCTTTGTGGCTGTGACCAAATGCTTTGCACATTGGTTATTCATTAACTGCTAATACAAGTTTACAAACCAGTGACACTCTGTAGCATCCTCACATGCAACAGACACACCAAGTATAACCAGGCATCTTTGGGTACCATTTCCCAGCTCAAGGGACACAAGCTTTCCTATTAGCACTGTTATTTCTGACTTGTAATTCTCATTGCTGGTAAACAAGCAGGACCAACAGGATGCCGCGCTGCTGAACTAGGCTCCATTTAAAATTGTCATAAGCCCAAGGGAAGCTCTGTGAGTGAGTTGTTCAGTTCAAATATAACCTGAAGCTTGTTTCACTAGGAACAGTTACTACAAGAGAAGGCAAAGCTTAATTCTCTGCATTTAACTTTCAAAAATCAAAAAGACATGAAAGGTGCAAGTCTGTCAAGAGCACCCACATTCAACTGTTGAAAATGGCACAGAGAAGATAATTAAAGTGAGGCAAATCATCTGCCTGGCATAATCCATTACCCACTGTTTCTTCTGCAGGAAACATGCTACTGAGCTATTTTATTCCAGGCTCTGAGGAACAAAGCTGAGCTTGGGCTAAGGAGCCTGAATGTGAACATATTCTGTGTTCAGACACTGCTAGACTGGAAGGCTCCCCAAAACTGCAAATACAATCAACTAGCATCAACATTTTAATAGGAATGCCTTTGAGTGAAAGAGATGAGCACACCACCCTTCCCAAAGCACTGACTACCAATTTACCACAGACTGCCAAGAAGAATGAATATGTTCTTGGATTTCACACAACGTGTTTCTTTGCTGATCAAAACCAGCTAAGAGAAAGAGCCCACTGAATGTTGGAAGCTCTGTACACTCATCTGAGAAAGGCTGATAAAATTCTATATGTTTATGGCTTTTACTTCCCCATAGGACATTCTTCCTTGATGATATTCTGCTTCTGATTATCTGCCTACCCAAACATGCATATGCAGCAGAGGCCAGCACACAGGCGACTCTGCAGGAAGTTTACAGGGAGGAAACGAATGGTCAGTGTTTCGTTCCACAACAGAAAATGTGTTCTTCTTATATCAATATGAGAGTGCCTGCAGGGGACGTAATTGACATGCAGATCCACAAAATGATTACTTCTCAGTGAGCTAAAGAGATGCCAGCCCTAACATCTGTTTGCAGCTCATTCTGCCTTATCAAAGGCTTTTTCTGTAACCCTTATCACATGGTGTGGAAAGGATGGCTAACAAAACATGCTCTGTTAGCTGAAGAAACAGATTGCTGATCCAGTTATTTTAGGCAAAGAACTCTACAAAGAAACCACAGTACTCACCTTTACACAGGAGTAAATGACCGAAACAAACACCACTGTGGTCAGGATCAGGAAACAGGTCAGGTAAAAACCCAGCATGAACGTAGAGCTGAAATCAAGGAGATTTTTTTTTTAAATACACACCATATAGAAAAGCTACAGCTCTGCTCTGCAGAACATGACATGTGTACAAGCTTTGACACATTGCAAGGGCTTTCCGGTTAGGACAGCAGTAGGAGATACGAGGTGCCTTGAATACCAACAGATACTCTGTCGTATTTTGAATTACTCATGCAGGCTGCAGAGTGGAGAATACTGCATCTTCTATATCAATCACCTTCCTGCTGGGGTGACAGCAGAGGGACAGAAAAATATTTCATGCGCTAGAGGAGCTGATAGAACAACTTGTTATGGCAGGTTGGCCCCTGGCTGGCTGTGGGCAGCAGAGCCCCGGGAAGAAAAGTGTGCCGAGCACTGCAGTGCAGCCGAGTGGGGATAGTCTCAACGGGAATAGCAACCCGTCCTTGCTGTGCATAGGGAATGCCTGTGCTGCACCACCCTCCATGCTCCGTCTTGTGCATGAGATGGCAGCAACCACGGCTGAGGATAGTCAGGGAAAACAGCCTCAGCTTGGCCAGCTTGAGAGGTTCCTGTTCCTCCCAACTCTGAAGTACAAACAGGACCCCAGGGCCAACTTTGTACTGTGCATTTTCATCTGTTTCGATCACAAAGATATTCACCAACAATTTCCCAGTACTTGGTCTCAGTGTGACAGGATAGGCTGCCTCCCAGGAGTTAGCCTTGTTCATAATTTAAAGGAAGTATTCTTGTGACATGACATTGAGGCCAACCACACCAAAGCCAGCTGGTCTCTGTATTCTCTCATGACTACTAAGATAATTGTATTTGCTAATTCACTGTTTGAGCCTTTGTGAAATTCATTAAAGCTATTCCTCTTTATCATCACAAATTATCATTGCCATTTTGTCTCTAGTTTCAGATTCAAATTCCATGTTGTGTCTTTCATGAAAATCTGATGGTGACATATACACCCATGGTTTCAAGTTGCTGCTGGAGTGTTACCTTCAATAAAAGACCAAAACTACGCAATTGAAATATAAGGAAAAACAAACCAAAAGGTGAAGGAAAGTCTATCTGACCCTCAAATAAAACATGGAATTTTATTTACTCTTGAACCAAATCATCTTTCAGCCAGGCCAGGCTGCCTAAGGACACTTCAGAACTTACCAAAAAAAACCAACCACCACCATGGAAGGAGATTGAGCAGCATGACATTTACACCATGCTGCCATAAGGGATTGGCTCCCGTGGAATACAAAGGAGTCAGCCATATGGTTGCCACAGATCAAAAATTGTCAAGTTGTCATTTAAATGTTAAACTGTGTTCTAAGGAGACAGCTTAGTGGCTGCTTAGGGAGTTTGATGAGCAACACAAAGGCTGGCAGAGGGCCTCTGCTGGTGTGAAGTCACAGCAGTAATACCCAGAGATCCAAAGTGCAAGCCCTTGCTAAAACAATTACTCTCAAAGAACATTTTTGGGTGTAATTAACAATGCATTAATTGCGGGGATTGATCTAGTTTGTATTTTGAGCCTCTTCGAGCTTCGCTTCCAGTTTCCCCAAGCAGATGCGTCTGTTTACACAGTGCATTTGTACTGATGTTATTTTGCTGATTCAATCTTTCTGTAAGCTGCAGTGAATGTCCTCTTGCCTGGGAGAGTGAATGACCTCAAATATCAGGCCATGCGTTGTTTCTGTGACCTGCCAAATATCTGATTCTCAACACTGCAAACCAGTCTCTAATCTGAAAAGGACTGTGATGTGAACAGAAATAGAAAGCAGTTGTAATGGCATAAAATAGTATTGGAGCTCTCTTTAATAAACAATTTTTGTCTTCTTGTAATGAAGATGAATTTGGAACCTTTTCAGGGCTTCTGCGATCTTGTTCTTCAGATTAAAAATGACTAACTCCAAATTTATTTCCAACACAGCCGTGCTCAGTGAATGATATATTATTGCTACTAAACCAGAGCACAGGAAATACCAACATGCTTTAATTTTAAGGGATCTTTTATGAACTCTTTGAGAAGAAATACCATGTCTGCAGACACTGCTGGGAGAGATCTAAGCAGGTTACACTGCGCCTTTCAGATAAAGCATTTCACTGCAGTGGCCCATGAGCACTGTGCCCCACAGCCCTGAGGAGCTTATTCCTCTTGCCTGAGGAAAGAAATGACTGCAACCCTTAAACCTGGAGTGAGCTCCTCAAAGCTTAGGCATGTGTAGCGCAACTCCCTCTCTACCTTTCTTCTTGCACTGCTGCTCTGAGTCCAGAAGAATAAATGCATGAGAGGCTATGCCTCATCTGTGAAGCAGACCCTGAGACCTCAGTGCTCTGAGAAACGAGGCTGTGATGGTTTTTCACCTCCCTGTCCCACTGCGTTCAGATAAGAGGACAGCCTAGCCTCATGTTGTGAAAGCATACTATGCCTTAGTAGGCAATCCTTCCTACTTAGTGATAGCGGTTTTCCAAAGGCTTATAAACATTCTGAACCGAATTTCCTAAGATGGAGGTAAATGGTAAGAGAAATCACACTGGGAAAACAGAAATCCTCACGTGCCAGTGAGGAGGTTTTAATCTGCACTAGAAATGAGTGAAAACAATAAGCACCATGCATCACTTGGACATGAATTATTTAAGGATTTTTCTCTTCCCCTTGGTGCTCTGAATTCTCAAGAAAAAAACAAAGAAAAGTAGGCCAGAATAGAGGAGGGGAGCAGATGGGAGCAAAGGGATGAAAAGGTACTCACTGTGGCACGATTATAATTTGAACAAAGCAGATGAAGAGGAAGACTAGGGAGGCGCAAGCCACATAGGCTCCGAACCTGTCATCCACCTGCTTGGAGTACTGCAAAAAATGCAAACAGGGTTATGTTAGTGGGAAATTTAGCTGGCTGCCTTCTCTCCACAAAAGCTTCTTACTTGGTTTCTGTTTAGGTCCTCAGAAAGCAGCACTGGTAGGAAACGACTAACATTGCAAACTCCCTTTCTCCCCGGACAAGCTGTAAGGGCATGAACAGACCCAAAGGCCAGGGAACAAACACACACAGCTGGGGGGAGAGAGGATTCGCCATCTGTCCCTTGCACGAGAGGAACAGAAATGGATTAGCTGGGACCAGGATTCTAGGTCACTGTCATCAGACCTAAATTTCTTCCATTGGAAGTTTCCTCCAACAGGTACAAATGTTGCCAATGAGAAGACCTTGTATTTTGTGCAGACGGCTTGGCTCATTCTAATGATAGTGTGAGGATGCGGCGGTTTTCACACAGTCACTCCTTCCAACTACTTGTCAACATATCGGTCACATGGGAGCTGCATCCGATTCCCAAAGATGCTTAATTTAGCTTGAAGCACGGTTCTCAGTACAGATGGTCTCAATGTTTGAACCACAAAATAAAAGGTGCTCAGAACAGGTGAACCGCTAATTTCCCTAGTAGTTTTCAGCTATAAAATTGAAGGGAAGGAGTGGGGGGAAACTGCATGCTGGAGCTTTTATCCAGTCCCACACTGATTCATTGAATAGCTGTAAATCCTGCAAAGGTCTGCTTTTGCAATAGGTTGTAATTCCTGAAGAGTGTTTCTAAATAAAATGATAAAATAATTACTGCAAACTTATTACTGAAGCTTTTTCCATTGAAGAATGAGTTTAACCTGAAGATCACTCAAGAGTACCCCAAAGATCTCTGCTTCAGTAAAAAAAACAAAACCAAAAGATGACTTTGACTTTCTTTGGGCAATTAAAACCAGCAGTGTATATAGCACCCTTAATAACAGCATCTGGGTTCCTCTGGACCTAACTGAATTTAAGTTTGCAGCCATCTAGAGCTGATGTTGTCTCTATTACATAGACAAAGAAATTGAAATGATCTTTGCCTCACAACAATGATAACTGAAACAAAATCAGGAAGCAATCAGCTATTTGGGAGCTCTAGGTGTGTTATTCTCCTTTCTCACATCAGTGAGATAGAGAACTCTTTGCTTAAAATGGGCTCCCAAAAATGACCAGAGTATGAATTGCATCGCAATGAACCCCAGTAGTACCTGGGGCTCTCTGGGGGGACAAAGGGCAGGGAAAACCCCCTCCAGAGGTGATCTGGAGCTCAGGCAGGCTGAATCGGGTTTCTCCAGTGATTTGAAGGAGATAAGGGGTGACTGCAATCTCAGTTTGGATGCCTCAAAGTCAGAGAAACAAACTTGGCTTATTCTGAATTCCCTTTATGGCTCATCATTGCATATCCATGTGTGTCTGACAGAAATGGTTTGGTTTTCCTGCCCAGTACTTCCTTCAGATGACCGCAACTTTCTAGGGACGTATGTTTTAAGGTTTCCATGAAGAAGCACAAAATTTTTAAGGCCACAACCTCACCTCCAACACCTAAAACCTAGCTTTACCTACAGATACAAAAGCTTGACCTTATGCAGGAGAATTAAAACTCATAACAAGCCCCACTGACACATTGCAATGATTTTTAGACATTACCTTTTTCTCCAAGTCAGGCTCCCTGAATGTTAAGAGGAACTTGCGCACGTGCTCAGAGCGTAACCGGTCAATACTTCTGGCATCGATGGCACGGCCCAGAAACTCATCCACTTCATCTTCTGGGTTCATGCTTTCCTGTGTATTCCTGAGGATGTCACGAAAAGGGAGCATAAGAGGACAAGATAATTTCTCCCTCTTCACCATATGTTATCATTTCACTGTATAACAAGCTGGAGGTTACTGGCATTTTGCTTATGACAGCTTCAAGTTGGAAAATGGATTATGAGCTGAGAGGAAAATTATATCGGCTCTAGAGCTCATTGCCAGTCCTGAGTCCACCAGCGAATGGATTTGATTTACTTGCCCTTTTTCTATACTACATCCATCTGTTTTCTTGCCTTGCAGTCTCTTTACTGTCTCATCTCTAAAACTAGTCAGTAGTTTCCTTCCACTAGTCCTCTGACTTCTTCTGTGTGCTGTGCTCTTGTAGATGTTAGTTCCTGGACTGGAAAAATGTTTTACATAACCAGTCCTATTTCTTGCTTCTCAATAATAATTTCTGTAAATATTTCTGTGAAAATTTCTGAACTTGAACAGTTCTCCATTTTTGAGAAAAAATTGTTCCTAGAATGAATATGTGGGGAAAAAAATGTGGCCTGACACCCCACTTCATGCAGTTATTTCTGAGTATAAAGAGTAAACCAGACAAAATTTTCTGTTTACAAGACATTTACTTAAGGAAAGGCTGCAAAAGAAAAAGATAGAAAAAGAAAAAAATATAAATTAGATTCTGCTTTCTAAATATGTGGACAAGATTTCTAAATTGCTTATAATCTTTATTATCAGTGTATTTCTGATGCTCAGCTACAGCTTCAGAAAAATGAGGGTATTTTCAAAAACTTTTGAAAAAAATAACACTGAAAACTTAATCACCCTGAGGTATTTTGCACTGAGGATCAGGAAATCTGAAGTATCTCCCCAAACTCTAGTTATTTTAAAAATCTAATGCGATTTTAATGACTTGATGCTGTCACTTTAATAGCCTACCTTAAAACTAGCTATAGGCAGAAATTAAAAGCTAATCCTGAAGTGCTGTTTTCCTGCTCTACTTGCATGATTGCCAAGGTTATCCACGGGATACACCAACAGTCATCCATTGGAATACACTCCCCACTTGCACTGGGCATATTCCAGTGGATAACTGTTCCTATGTGCAAACCCCATGATGGCACAGCAACTTACGGCTCATCTTGTGTGACCTTCACCTTAGGCACTCTGGAGAAAAAATCCCGAGGTCTGAGAAGCATGATGAAAAGCTACACTGCTTTATTTTCTCGGTTTTATTTGCACTGCGTAACAGCACATAATGCACAAACACTGCATTGCAGCCAGCGGGCCCCTACAGGTACGACTGTGCTGTAGAGTGGAGACTGCTCAAAGCTGCTTACAAACCAGAATGTGACTCTGTTTCAAAAGTTAAAGGTCCCTTTCCAAAAGAAAGGCTCTCCAAAAGCTTTCTGCAAAATGGGACCAGATTTCAAGAAGCCCTCTGTACCCCAACTCTACCACGTACCTCTTGCCAAGAGAAAAATAAATCAGTCCATCTACTCATTTCCATCCCAACTCCCTTTTCCCCAGCCAGCAAGCTGAATGTGGCTACACCTCAGCTGGGTCATGACAACGTACCATCGGCACCTATTTTGTGACCATATGGCAATTGCAAACCTAGTGTGTCTCAAGATCTTATCTCTATTTTAGCCAATCTTAGTATTTCAGTAGGGTTTTTTATTTTGGGGCTCTAGAATTCTTTAATTCCTTGAATTTCATATATTCCACTTTGAAATTAAAAGTGGTTTTGTCCCTAGAAGGACAGGACATCCAATTTACTTCTAGATGTTTCCTCAGAGGAAGTACATCTGCTTGAGCATTCAAGACTATGCTGCCTTATTTTCATTCAGTCCCCACAATGTCTTCTGGACTCATAAAAATGAGCAAGGAAATCATTAGGCTTCGTATTTACAGAATGTCTTCCAAGATCCTGTGAGTTATTTACACATTTGGGTCATTCACATTTAGTCATTTCATACCACGTACAAGAGATGCAATACGTTTTCCTCTAGAACTGAAGCAAAAGAGTCGTCTCAGTATCTTGGCAAACCTTGGTTACAAGTTCCAGTCTAAAAGTGTCACTCAGGAAGATGTGAAAAGAAGAAACTGCCTGCTCAGGCTTTGGTCTCGGCTGCCTCCAGCTTTGTAATAGGTCATTATACTGCTGAGGGTGTCTCTAACACCACAATAACTTCTGTGGTTGCAGATTGTGTAGAAATACCCCTGCAGGTTTCAAATTGCCTTGCTGAGAAATTCGCAGTGAGGCAGCCACCTCCACATAGACTGCGGGGAGGCTTAGTCACCTTGCATATACCTAGCTGCTCGGGTGACTTTTGCAGCCAGTGGTACTCAAACTAAATTACTGTACAGCAAGTTTGGGTACATTTGCGTAAATGTAATTTTAAATTGAAATACAAAATTTCCCCGCGCTAAGGAGTGCCCTGGAGGCAGTGCCTGTAAGTCAGAGCTGAGGTACTGCCATAGACTAATGAAATTCATATGTGGAAATACGTATTGATATATTGATAGCGTGTGTGTGTGTGGAATAAAACTAAGGTTTTTCAGGCTGACACGAAACTTCCAGAAACAACTCTTTAAAGCACTGCTGAGATTTCTCCAAATGCAGCCAACAGAAAATGGTTGCAAGGGACAGGAACAGCACGAACAGAGCTTGGAGCAACTTTTGCACTCTGCTTGCAAACGTGAAAGCTAGCAATTAACCCAGAGATCCTGGCTTCAGAGTAATCCAAAAATGTTCTGCTGATTTAATTACTTTCTGCAAATGAAGAGTGTGACCACTGCCAAAACTACATGTATGTCATAATTTTAAATGCTTCATGCCTAGATTCAGTAACTAAATCTGCGTTTAGGCACGTAAGTGTTGGGTCCTGTTTTCGGAGATGCGTGGTGCCTACATCTTCCTTCGCTGTAAGAGACAAGTATTGATGACCAGTGTTTCTGCATGTGAAGGCAATGGGTTGAGGTATCTGCTTTTAACCAATATCACCATGAACATTTTCTGCTAGAGATTTTTTTGGCCAACTCTTTCATCTTGATTTAAACAAATTTGTGGATCAAGAGAATCTGAGATAAGTAGTAGCTGCTTTCGGTACTAACAGAAATGGAAAAAACCTGCAATCTGTATAATAAGACAGCATCACACTGAATCATCGCTGTAAATATACAGCTCTCAGCTGTTGGCCATAACAGCTCAAGTAACCTTTTCAAACTATAGATGGAGGAGAGACATTATGGTCCTTGGAGCAACAATGGAGACGCTGTTCCTCGCCAGCTGGGTGATTCTGTTGTGGACCAACACTGAGGCAGCTGAATTTACGTTTTCTTGCACAAACTATGAGGACAATATCTATTTTATGAGGGATATTTAAAATTTCTGTATTCCTAAGAATTATTTTGTTGTAATCTGTTACCTCTTTTCAGCTCAAACTATATCTAACATCAACTGAGGTCCCAGCTGACAGGGATGCAACAAGGAGACCTGGTGAATCCCCCTAGACACCTTGTAGCACCAGCGAAACATCCCACGGTGCACAAAACTAAATGTTATGAAAATCAAGTTTACAGTGAAGGGCAAAGGAAGGAGAGAATGATTCTTTAATATTGCCATGTTCAGACTTAGCGATTCCCTTTACTTTTAGGGAGTTGTTCTCAACGCTTAACCACCATAATGTGAATTTTCCCAAAGCCAGATGCTTAGGGCTCACAGAAGTATTTAGCTGTCCCAGCTCACAGAGTTCCACTTAGTCCTGACTGGCAGCTTGAGAAACATGCAACATATTTCAGGCATTGGTCTACTCTACTGTCACCTATCTTGCTCTGAGCAAGCTTACAATCAATTTCACATTCAGTAGGACCGAATGTGAGATTATTCCAAAAACCTTCAATACATGAAATGCTTTTGTTATGTCCAGCTGCAGAAGTTAAAAAGTGAACATGGCTGGGGTTTTTTTCCTCCAAAAGCAATTTTTCAAAATACCACTCTTGTTAAATTGCTGTTTAAACCAATTTTTTTGAAAGTTCTATAAGAAAAAAAATGAAAATGCTGCTTTGATGTCGCTGTATTTTGAAGCATGAAAGTTTGAACTTACTTTTTCAAATAAGCTCTCATTTCGGAGTTCATTTTTATATACAGAAATAAGTAACATGTAATAATTTGTAATATAAAATATATACAAATAAACTCAGAAACTACATATGTATTTCAATACATACACAAATTTTTCTTATCAGAGATGTTCAACGCTCAGACATACTTTGGGATATCTTTGAAAATATCTTGGGATATTTTCAAAGCAGCAAATAGCAAAGAATATTGGGGGCAAAGGGAAGAGCAGCAAAAGCATTTTAATTACAAAAGCAAGTTAGAACCACACAAGCGAATAAACGTTTTGAGGGCAGAGGCAGATCTGAATGCACATCAGTCAGTCCCGTGCCCTCGCCTGGCTGGCCCTCCAGGAGAAACCTCTGGGGAATCCAGGCATTATTCTTGGCTGCTGGGCATTAATTTTTGTCTTTTTTCAAAATGAGAAAAAAAAATCCCAAATGTGCAAACATAACAGCGTATGACAGAAGTAAATTTGCTTACTTGTCCTTGGGGTCCTCAAAACCCTGAAAGAAAGAAAAGGACACAAGGATTAGGAGACAGGCTAACCTTGGGAACACAAATTATCCTGAGAATGGCATTTTGCAGAGGAGTTTTTGGGGTGCTCTCTTGTTAGGTTGGATGGATAGCCTGACCCACCCACAGCAATATTTGTGCTGCTGTGTCATCAGGCAGACAGAGCAGTTTTAGAAAAACACATGCCTTCAGATATAAATTTATGGAAGTAAAGATATGGGAAATGCTTCAGTTGACTGCTGGTACACTTTATTTCAGGTGTCTTCTTTTTTGCAGTCACTATTACAAATGATACAACGGAAATTATGCTGATATTATAACTGAGGATGTATCTTACTTGAAACAAAACTCAGAATGATAACATAAGTCAACTATTGTATTCACCAAGGTTGCATCCCTTTTATGTCAGCGCTTGGCTAAGGGAGCTGGATGCATTTCAGTCTTCATCTCTTCAGGAGGAAACCAAAGGGATCTCCTCACTTCACCCCTCACTGCATGCACACACAAAACATGTTTTTTTGAATGAGATTTCAGTAATTATTTATGGCAATTGTAGTAGCCAAAATGCTCACAGTTCCTTCAGGGCCACCTGAACTAAGCAGATGTGTGTATTTACAGTTCATCCATAGTTGTAACTGCTTAGAAGGCCTATGAGAAAAATACGTACGGAGGCATAATTTTATCTTTAGCATTACCATACCTAATAGACCAAATTGCATCAAAATGGCCATTTTGCATGGGCTGAGACAAAATCTGCCCTCTGACATCTTGGCTTAAATTCAACTGAAGTCAAGAAAAGTTGTATATTTGACAAGTAGGGTCAAATACTTGGGCACAGAGTTTGTACCCTGTGTTCCAAAACAAAAACCAAATGTCGCTGGGAGATAGGAAGAATTCCTTTTGTTTTCCTCCCAGAGACCTCAGGCCAAAACTGCTCAGAGCACATGAGGATACTCCAGCTGCTGGACCTGCAGCCGCTACCAGGCTGGGGGCAGCAAACTGAGATCCATCCCAACTGTATAAAAGTAAAAATCTTTGGGCAAAATTCTTTCCACAGCTGCCTTGTCCAACGCCACCACGAATAAGAACATTGACCAGATACTAAATGAGAACAAGATTTTGCCCTTGTAACTAGTTAGCAATGTGGTGACACGGTGAGAGGCAGAAATAAAGCCAACACAGTCTCCCTGAACAGCATCAGCTTTGCAAGAGGGAAAAAGTGGGTTGTGTCACTCAGGTCAACAGCCAGGCCTGTGATTCACCGAGAGAGCAATTTCCATGTTTACATACTCCGTTTCAGACTAACCCCCCACTTCTAAATAGAAACTGCAACTCCATTTTAACCCATCAGAAATTCAGACAAAGGAAGTCTCTCAGTCCCATGTAACAACCACCAGCACATCCAGTGGGAAGAAGGAAATAGCAATGTCGATTCAAAGTTAGCATGCCCAGTTATCCAAGCCATAAAAACACGTACTTTTTGATTTCACATTAAAGAGTGATGAAACAACCATTCAACGTTTTGTTGTGTGGCTTTTTTTTTTTTCCTTTGCTTAATCATTTTACAGTTGTCAGGACTATCTGATTGATTTATTTATTTATCCTCTAAGCAATGTTACAACACAGTGCCAAAACTGAAAGCTCACTGATTAATCATGGAGACAAAATGCTCACTAATTTGTCTGGTGTCGTAGTCAGTCAGGCTGAAGAAAAAAAAAAGAAAATCAGCTGAACATGAATAGCTGCCAGCCAAGAAATAAGGGGAGGGAACCGATGAGAAAACAGCCAGTACTTGCTTATTAGATAGACATCAAGTTCACATTTTCAAGCTTAGCCACATGGAAACTGGATGACTGACTACAGCGGGAGAGTCCCCTAACATGGTCTGATTTTCACAGACAGCTGCGTAACCACCCATCCCACTGAAATCCTGAAACTAAACACAGGTCTCGTACTCCTGCCTTCTAGGTGCACAAGTTTGAGGATATATGTCGACCAAGTCAAGTTACCAAAACACCTCAGCAAGCATATCCTCAAAATATTCCCCAAAATTTCAAGCATGGAAAAATATGTAGGCTGCATATTTAACTGGTCATTTATATGGGTGATCACTTGATCAACACGGAATTTGACTCTCCTCTGCTTCTTTCCCCCAGCAAAACTGTTATAAGGAAAGTCTCTAAAATAATACAGAATCAATTGATCTACCTTTTCAATTTAAAATACTAAACTGTTCTGGATATCTTGGAAATCACTCATGCTGGTAGCTGAAAATCAAATTGGTGTTTCAAAACTAAAAACTCAAAAAAGGCATATTTCAGGTAAAGCAGAAAAGGAAAAGATTATTACATTTTCTTTCCTGGATCGTCATTTAACGAGGCTAAATATTTAAGAGTGACTTGAACTTTAATTAGAGAGAATCAGCTTAAAATTAAATGTGGTAGGAACCTCTTTAAGTTAAGCAAATTAAATGATTCACTTCAAACATTCCCATCTCATATGAAAGATTCTTCAAGCAGAATTGCCAAAAATGGAATTGTTATGGAGAAAGGTCTGCAGGATTATTTTAGGAAAAAAACCCCTCAAACACAGCTTCTCAAAAACTGGTCATTTATTACAGGAGATCTTTCTTATTTGCTCTAAAAGCCTTTGCCAGGATACAGAGCAAATATACCTCTAAGGTCTAGCTGTGACCAGAGATTTTCTTCCCTGTCCACTAAGCATCCATGTTTCAATCACACACTAAGAAGCCTTTTAAGTGGAGGAGATGATCACACACACAGGGTCGCGCTGCTCACTATTTTGGGTTGGGAGGGAAATTTCCCCCTGGGTGTTGGTTAATGTGTTTTCACCTCCTCCTACTTCGTGGGCATGCCCAGTTCATTGAAAAATCTGTACTTAAATTATTTCCTTTCCCTTGCATGAGGCTTGGGCACTAAAGACACATTGGTCTTGTTTTCTTCTCCGTGGCTGGCAAATAGCTTAGTTTCTTTAGCGCTCAGATGCTTTACTCCAGTTAAAGCCCTTTGGCTCAGCACAAGACTGCTTGCATGTATTGCAGCGGTTGCTGTTACACACAGGGTAGCCACTAAGCACAATCAATCCTGCAGAAATATGGTCTACATGGATTCGCCTTCATTCCTAAAGGACTAACGCATTTATGATCTAGTAGAAAAATTTCCAAGCTAAGCAGGAAAGTGAAATAATGGGGGCTGCTGGGGCGAGCATGTCTACAAAGCCTCTCTCTAGCACCCCTGATCTCACCTGTCTGTGCTCACTGCTGGACTTGGGTAGCTGGGCTGGGGCTGTGCTCAGCCTGTGGGCGTACAGAGCAGGTTTTGAACTGCACGAAGATATGTCAAGATTGGCATTTCTGCACACACATGCACAGAAATCTGAACATCCAGAAAACATAGTTGATAAAAATGAGATGCCTATCGTTTAGGAGAGAGGGAGTAAGGGGGTAGGAAGAGAAACAGCCAGTTCCTGGAGTTAAGTATATAAATCCCCTCTTGACTGCTTATGGATTTGTGCCCAGCAGACTGAAGCAGTGCTGATGGCTTTCTAGGGTGCTATGAAGAAAAGGCTGGGAATTGTCAGCAGGGATGAAAATGGCAGAAGTGGTGATGGCTACAAGAATCAGACAGATAGGAGTTCACAGGAGTTCAAGAATAGCTCCATAATCATGATGATGAAGTAGCCCTGGTTAAGGCCAAAATTCCTTTTCTCTGGAAGGGAACATAAGGCATGAGATAGGTCTTATCACAGTGCAGTACTAATGGACTGCTGCATATACGACCTCATGCAATTTTTATTCAGTCTTATTTTAAATATCCCTGATACTGGAGTTTTCCCCCTTCCCCCAGGAGGCTGGATTATTCTGCCATCAGATTGCAAATGTAAAGGTAATAGCACTTAATAATTGCTCTGAGACTAAGACAGTTCTCTCTCTGGCTTCAGGAATATTAACCCAAACTTAGCTGAATCAACTCCCTTAAAGGCACTAGTACCTACCAAAGAACAGCCCTGCTCTTTCTTCTTTTCTACAGGAGATTCTCAAAAAAACCCATATTTTTTATGGCAGGTCAGGTGCCTCTGAATTTACAAGCACTTACTTTTAATGACCATCCTCAGTGGGAGTAGAGAAGTGCAAGAGGAAAAAAAAGAGGGAATGTTATATTACTGCATCTGTCCCTAAGGCTTACTGTTTTATGGGGGATATTTCATGAATATCTATTGTGCTAAAAGTCATATGACTGCCATCTCTCTGCTTGACTTCTAAATTAACTAAGCCCTTTTCTTTGAAGATTAAAACAGATTCCTTAAATAGAATGATAAAGTGTTTGTCAAAGCCATGACAAGCTGACTGCTATACCATAATGCTTCAAATCAAGAACGATTAGAAATAATAATTCTAACTTTGAGAACATTAGCTGCAATTATTAACATATGGTAAATATGCAAAGAAAAGTGGAATAGACTTTACATCCTTTTAACTTTTCATTTAGCTCAAAAAATAAGACAGTAGAGGGGCTGATGAGCTCTATGACCTTATTAATAGCAATGTGGTTAGAAAGCATGGATTCCACCTTAAAAACTTCGCTGGCAACTCCAGTGAAGATCATAAGAGCAAAACTGAGAAACTAATTTTCCTTGCCCTCTTTTCATCTCTAGAACAAAGCTGAAATGGGACTTACACGATGTTAAATCAGAAATTGAAAGAACTATAGACGTAGGGATGAAATGAGCTTTGTAAGAGGTCAGACCAACTTGCAAAGCAAAGGTGTTTCACAGAGACAGTGACCATGGAAAACAGAAGAGGATAGTGACAGGCTATGACAGTGGATGTAGATAAAAACAAACCTGTTTTGGCCTCACCACAAAACTAATTCACACCTGTTTTCTGCAGTGTTACACATTCTGCATTTGTCCTTGTGGTCAACAAGACAAGGCTACGAAGATAGATGCTGTCAGGTGTAAAACAGAAACA